CCTCTCTAGTGCATCCAGAACAATGTTTTGTGGTGTGAATGAGATTTTCAGAAGTGCTGAAAATACGTGTAATTTTAAAGTCCCTCAACCCCTCATTTAGCAGATTTGACTAGACAATGGATTTCAGAGGTTGCTCTTCAGCATTGAGGAATACATTTTAAAAAAAGAGAAGTAGACTCAGCAGCTACATGAATCCCTGCCAGGGCAGCACTTTCTGATGTTGAATAAAATCCTAGGTTAACTATGTATTGTACCATTTCTGCTACAGTAGGGATCCTTCAGCTTTTCCTATTACAAAACCTAGGGCCCCCTAAATACAAAGTCACTTGCAATGCAAACATTCTGATTTGTTTCCCATTTGAATGGAAGAGATACAGTTAACTATCTCATTTGAACAGTTACAAAGGTATCAGAAAATAAAGAGATCGTAACACTTTATTAAACTGCATTTCCTTATTTTATCTAGAAAGACAGGCATGAACAACGTTTTGGATATTTTGCAAAAATCGGACTAAACTTATCAAGTCAGATCTGTTTGATTTTTAAAGCGTGGTCATTTTTATTTTCCTTCAGAGTTCTATTTCTTCATTTAACATTAATCTTGTGAAGGCAGAGATAGAAAGAAGACAGTAGGGACAGGGAAAGAGGGAAGGGGAGAGAGAAAATGGAGAAAAAGATGAGGACAAAATAGATTGGGAAGGTGGGAAACATCCACCAAAAGGTTCTCCATGAATAAACATTTTCTTAAGGACAAATGCCTTTTAAAAACACAGTAAAAACTCAGAAACCACTTTATGATAAAAATTTGCCTATTCTTTGTGTCTCTATAGAAATAATTAAGCCCACAATTGTTTTTGTCGTTGTTTCTCTTGTTAATTTGAAGGGCACTAAGGGGTCAAGCAAGGTTGACACAGGCAAAATTTGCCATTTTTATCTTTTGTCACCTGAGTTCCTCTTCTGCTCTTCTCCCCACTTGCTTGGGGTCTCCCCTTCTACACCCAAATTCCACCAACATTTGGGTAAAACCCCTCTCTTCCCTAATAATTAAGGGATTTATTTGCTAAATAATCATTTATATGTTTGAATAACTGGTTAAACTTTAATTGAAAAAACTGAAATATGACTTCCATTGAAATTCATTTGTATCAAAGTAAAAAAGTATAAAATATACCCTTGCATTTGTACTTTTAATATCTAATTATAGACTAAAAAGGTTTTTTTTCCCCAGATGAAAGAATTTTCAGCTTAATTACTTGACCCTTTGCTTTCCTATAAATATGTTAGAATATCATTGATTTTTTTTTTTTACTGATAAAACAAAGGCAAAAACAAAGGCAGCTACGCTTACTAGAATTTTAGTTAGGATTCCATGTAATAGATCAGTTTTAGAAAGAATTGACATCATTCAATATTAAGGCTTAAAAATGATACATATGTCTTTCCTGCTGTTAATTTAGGTGTTCCTCAATTTCTTTCTATATTTTATTATTTTCAAAGTAGTATTCATTATATCTTCATTAGAATTATTCCTATCGATAGGCTTTTTTTCCTTCTCTCTTTCTAAGGCTTTCCATTCTTACCTTCTCTGGAGGTCTTAGAGCTACACTGCCCAGAAGTGCCTTCACCTGCCACACTTTGATAGTCTCACGTCACACTGAGGTTACACTCTCACTAGGAAGTCACCCGTGCCAGCCAGTGACTGAATTTGGTGGGTGTCCTGCCACCAGGCTCTTTCTGGCCAATGCAGGATTTCTCTAATGAACACTCTTTACTCTGGGGCTTCCTGTCCACCTGTCTCAGAATTTTTCAGAGCTATGCTGCAGTTTGAGGTTCTAACTATGCAGTCATGATTCCTTCTCTGTCTCCCTTCACAAGTGCCAGACCTCCACTGTGGGGCCTTCAGAAGGTTTTTCTGCCCATTTATGCTCTTTTGTCTGTCATAGTGATCTCCTTCAGTCTTTTACACATCTGTTTTCATATTCATGACTTATTTCTCACACAACAGGAAGTCCTTTTATTACCTTAGAGAAATTTGCATCAATTCCCTACTTACTGATATTTCTGTAAGCCATGAGAAAGTGGGAAAATTGACCTTCAATTGGAAAAGAAGGAAAGGAGGAACAGATAAAAAAAAAATGAGTACATTTGAAAGGGCCAGGGTGCGATTTCTGATGAATGGAGAATAAAGATGAGAAATCGTGAAGAAGATAATCCAGGCCTGCAAGTCTGAGGCAGGTTCAGGAAGAGGAAAGAAATTTTAAATTGGATAAAAATGCTCAAACTTTGATTATCAATACACTAGACCAACCTGTTGTTCTGTGATTTTTGTATGGACTTTTAATGACAAAACAACCATACTGTTTATTGTCTAAGAGAGACTACAAAAATTGAGATCCATCCCAGAACTCCCCAAGAGCGGCGAAGAATGGGTCTATAATGAAGCTTAATGGAGAAAAAGCTATTTTATGTCAGACATTGAATCCTGCTCAACTGTAAACAGGTATTTGAGATAATGTCAGTTCAACTGTGTAATAAGAGGAGTTGATGTGATTTTTAAGGTATCGAATGTTTTTTCTTAACAGTTGAGAATGAATTAGGTCAACTCAAGTCATGAAACATTCAAAGGCAATTCTTTGATGAAAATAATAGGATTTTTAAAGAATGTGACTAGATGGAAATAATAAATCAAGAAAAGAAAGAATACCACCTTCGTGTGCACTATGCAACGTTTTGTTGGTTTGTGTGACTTGTTTATCACTCGGTGGGTACAGAGTGTCATGGTGTCAGTATGGCTTGAGGCTGAGTGGTTGTAGAGTTCCTTGAGGTTCCTCTCACATCTTTTCCATCTCTTCTCCAGTATGTGATGGGCTGGGTTAGGCAAAGCAGCATTGTTCCACTCTCAAGTCCAGGGCTCACCCTGGTTTCCTAGCAACTCAGGCAGGCAATGGTATCCTCTTGCATTTGGCTTAAGTGAAACAGTTCACAGTGTTCCCTAGGGGACCCAGAAACCTGAGGACATTTGAGTGTTGAAGCCCATCCCTTCTGTCTTTATGACTCTGATGTGCCACGAGAAGGCTGGAACTGCTGAAATCATTTTGAATCCAAATGGGAAGCTTGTAACACCAAGGAAATTGGGGTCAAAGAATTCATACCTTTGATGAAATTGAGCTACGGAAACAAATCAAACACCTGCGCTGTCTCAGAACCTTCAACTTTTGTGAGTCCATAAACTCCCTTCATGACTTAAACCATTATCAGTCAGATTTCTTACTAGTTGCAACAGAGGGTCCTAACTGATAGAAGTCACAGGGAAAGAACTCTGTTTCCAGGGATAGAAATTCTTAGATCCGAATCCTGGAGTTGTCATGATGTAATTGATTAACTTTAGGCCAGTTGCTCAACTAGTTTAAGCCTTAATATATAATTCATCTGCTAAATGGAAGTGATCATGTCACGTTTCAAGTTCTGTTGCATTGATTACATGGGAGGACATATATCAAGTGCCCTGCTCATAATAGGTACCCAATGAATATGATAGCTTTTATATTTAAAGTAAATTTAATTTCCATTGTGATATTATAAATAAGTAAATTTCCTTTTTTTAAAACATCAATTAATGTGTAATAGACATCCAAAGTACTTAGAACTGTTAGCTCCCTCTTTTTTAAAGAAGACAAATCCTCTGTGTTACACAGAATCTATGCCATGGATCACCTGGTAACTTGTACAAAGAACAACATAGGAAGGGTTCTAAAACTATAAAATTTCCTTGTTGCATGAGGAATATCTCACTTACTGCTTAGATACTCAATATTTCTTTCCTTTTATCCCGTACACTGGGAATTCATTGGAAAATTCTGTTCATACAAAGAATATGTGATGGTCTGACCCACTGTTTCCCACTGGTATCACCCAGGACTGTGGAATGCTGGACTAGGAGGCAACAATTTCATGAGCTCAGCTGTCACTCCTCTGGCCTTTCCCAGAGCTGAGTGGTCATCCACTTTTTAACAGATCTGAGAACACATTCCCAGTGGAATCACAGAGCATACAGTGGAAGGAACACCTGAATGCTGACAAGCAAAGGAAAATGAAATGTGACCTCGGGTGATAATGGCCCAGGGAAGGAATTATGGCACAAGGGCAAAGCAGGAACGGTTGTAATACTACTGGGTGGTACTCCTCCCTTCCTCTTTGCCCTATGCTCCCCAGCTTTTATCCCTAAGGTTCTCATAGTCATTCAACAAGCATTTTGGGGCATCTCCTCTATTGCCTTTAAGAGACTGCACAAAGTAGTGAGGGTAAAATGGTGGATGAAATAAAGTTTCTGACCTTGGTGAATTCACAGTCCAGATGGGGACGATAATGTAATTCAGAGACACCCCCCCCCCCTTCTCGGCCCTGGGCCTCTTCTAATGCAGCATGCTGGGTGTAGATAATCTTTATCTTATAGTCCTGCCAATCTTAGTCTTCTGGCTCCATTTTTTTCATAGGCTTGACCTCAGATGATTCTTCCATTATATAGGTCAGGGAGTAAAGGATCTAATGTTGATGAGGTATTTATGAATTTCTAATTGGCTTATTAGGAAATAAAGAAATCTGAGAAGCTGTAAGGAAAATAATTTGGGGGCAATGGAACTCCTCCCAGGAACTATTAGATACAAATAGATTAGCGATTGCCAATTCCTAAGACCCTTCCTACCTACAGAGCCCTGTAGCCCTGTTTCCACAGGTATAGGTAGGGCTCTTTGTAGGGAGACCGAGGCCCGATGGCTACCAGGGGAGCATGTTCCATCAGGAAAGCATGGTCTTTTAAAAAGTATTTGATCGTGATGTGGGCTCTTTGAATCACCACGAGTTTTGATAAACTGAGATTTAGAAATTGCTTCTATTGCATGTGTGTGCTTTATGGGATATATCAAAGGCTATTTATCATGTTGTGTGAGGTTTGAGACATTCGTTCTGCTCTGAATGCAAGCTGCTATAGCGAGGCAACTTACTAGCATCCACTTCGGTGACCACGATTGGCTTGGAGAATTCAATTCGGAATCCCCAGGGATAATCACCGGTTCCTTTGAACAGCCTCACGGTTCGCTCTCGAACTGAAGGAGAAGCAAAGAGGGCATTCTTTTGAGTTACTCTTTAGATACCACAAATATGATTATAACAGTAGATAGCATTTATTGCTGGTTTATGACACACCAGACCTAATAAAAATGTTCTAACCACTTATTAGTATTATCCAATTTAATCTTTATATCAGCCTGTTATTCTTTTTTTGGAGAGGAGGAAACTGAGGCACAGTGAGCTGTTTTTCGGTTTGTTTTGTCTTGTTTTTGTTTTTGTTTTAGAGAGAGAGTGGGGGAAGGAGCAAAAGGAAAGGTAGAGAGAGGATCTTAAGCAGGTTCCACACTCAGGGTTTTATCTCACGACCCTGAGATCATGACCTAAGCTGAAATCAAGGGTTGGATGCTTAACTGACTGAGCCACCCAGGTGCCCCCAGACAACGAGAAGTTCAACAACTCGCCTGGGTCATACGGTGAGTAAGGGGCAGTGCTCACCACCCCACGGCTGCATGACTCCCGAAAGGCAGCTCAGCCTTACAGGTCTGAGTCACTCAGGTCCAATGTCCTAACAATAGGACTGGTGTTGCAAAGTTATACATGGAAATAAGAAAACAGAATCCTCAGCTGTACATTTAAGTCTTACAGGAACCCAAAAAAGCCTGAATAACTGAGTTTCTCAGAAAAAGCAGGAACTGCTGGGAGGAGCTTGCAGGTGTTGTAAGTGTAAGATTGCGTCGTACTGAAGGTGGGGAGTTCACAGTAAGAATTTATGGATTTTTACATTAGTCTAATGATCTTTAATTGATGTGGCCTTGCTATTTCACAGTCTGATTTTCCATATATCTGCTCCATTTCTCCTCCTGCTACCTTCACAGCCTCTTTTCTATATAAATGTGTGTAGATCTATGTGTGTGTGTGTGTGTGTGTGTGTGTGTGTGTGTGTGTTTCTTCATTGCTTCTGCTCACTAATGAGTTTGGCTTATTTATAACTTCTGCTCACTCATGGACCCTCTTGACTTTTCTCTACCTCAAGACATTTTAACTTCTGTGCTCAGTACCTTAAGGGCATCTTCCCACATCAAATTTGTGAAAGTGAGAATCTCACAGGTTGAAAACATCTCTGCTCATAACTCTATGGGCTGTTACTCTTCAGTGGTGACAAAAGGGCAGGATTGTAAGGCTGCAAATATGTCTCTGCAGGTCTGTTCCTTTTATAGCAGGTCAGTTTACGTAACAGGAGATGTGGACATTGTAAGCATTTTGTCTTTTACTGTATATGGACATTTCGTTTTTTATTTAGAAGAAAAGTTATGCCTAAATCATGTTAGAATATAAAACTGAAATAAAACATCTGAAGGGATTACGTGATCTCAGATGGATCCATTTTTTTTAATAAGTGTTGACAAAGTTATCCAATGAAGAATGATAAACAAAAAGCTTCAAAATACTGAGTGTTGGGTTGTATTTATGGTCAGGTTCACCAGAGAGAATCATTACCTTAATACTGGGAAAATTAATCTTCCCCCAACAATTATACTTTATGATGGTATACTTAATTGGGTGAGTTTTCTTTTCTGTATGTTAATATCTAAAAAATGATAAAGAATAAATCATAATAAAGAATAATTAATGTTAAGCTCCCTGAGCTCCATAAGTGAATTATTAGTAAGAGGCCTATTGTTAAGTCTCTGGGGGGAAAAGTCAGGTAATTAATTATAAAACAAGAATGCTTGTCTATTAATAAGGACAGCGCAAATTCACACCGTAAAACATAACTTAATAGAATCTTTTTATATTAAAAAAAATAGAATTTACAGGTAATTTCTTTTTCTGCTTCTTTCCAACCCCTTTTTGATATTTCTGTATTTCAATTCTCATGTCTCAGAGAGTTTTAGATCTTCCTCTGGACTGGAGATCAAGGACATTTCTTCATTGAAGGTTGCATCCTCTTTAGATCCATATTCAAAGGCTGTTATGGAATGCCTAATGTAGGCAAATTATGGATAGAATTAGAAGCAATTGAGAGGTCAAAGGAACTCTTAAGAATTTAAAATGATTGACTTCACAATTATATTTTGAGTAGGAAAAAAAACCCCACTCCAAATTTCCATTTGATGAGGAATCTCTTCCTGGTCGTCCCTGACCTTTGAAGATACTATTATTATTAATTTACATTACAGTTTAAAGATTTCTAATTACAGAGTTTGTAAGAAGATTTGCCATTACTTTATTAAATTTTCTCTCAGCTATTCTGAGGTAAATTAGTGGGGTTTTCTAAAATTAAATTTCCTATAAGAAGTGACAAATACAGTAATAAGTTAGGCAATATATCCACATGTTCTTGGATGTGACCTCCTGCTTGGTCAGTCAGCTAGGGAGCAAAAATATTGCTAAAAACAAGGAAATAAGCGTCTCTGTCTTTAGTGATCCATTATAACATAATAGTAGAAGTTATTCATTCACAAACATTTACTAGATATCTACTGTTTGTCCAGGTGTTTTCCTTTGTGTTACGATTGTAATGGTAAAGATGGGCAAGAGACTTTTTCTCATGAACTTTTCATGCCAGACCCTGGCTGCCAAAGTTGGCAACCATTTAAAGAGAAGGATAGGCTCTTCATGTACATTCCTGAAGGAATGTTTATCTTTCCAATTTGTCTGAAGAAAATACACTGTTTTACTGCTGTTGAGAACAGTATGGGGAAAACATGGCAAAGTTGCCAGGAAGGTACTAGTGTAACCCAGTCCTAAAACTCTGTCCTCTGCTCTGCTCTATGCTCCTGGGAAGATTTCCATCCTTTTGTTAATCTCCTTTTGGCCATCATTTATATCACTGTTTTGATTGTCATTGACTGGATCTCAGTATAATTTAAGGGACAGAAATAAGAAATTCAAGGACATGGAAATGGATATTTTCACAATCTGCAACAGTCTGGTAGCCAATCAGGGCAGAAAGAAGATCAGAAATCCTATTTCTGACCTCGGTAGAAATCATTTCTAACATCTCCACATGTCAAAATGTTTTGCTCCCTCTAGGTTACTCTCTTGATACTGTCTTCTGCTTTTGACAGATTGATTACCCAACAGATATTTGTTTAATGGAATATATTTATTGTGTTGATTCAAATCAAATCATGTTCGTTGTTTTGTTTTCATATTCCATGAGACTGTTAAGATAGCTAATGCTTTCAAGGCTGCAGTGATAGTGCTTTTTTTTTTCTTTCTTCTTCGTTCAGGCAAATTGAATGTCAACAATGTATGTGAAAGTATAAACAATTCCATGAAGTCTTTAAATGGTGAACTCAACTGTAGCATTCTCCTGTGGGAGAGGAGACAATCAAAATATGTTGCAATATGTTCCTCTCCCATCCTCAAGACAGTTTTCTCATATTTTAAAATTTACAGGCCTGGTTTCCTCTGCCACTGTCTGGTAGATAATCTATGAGTGCCACACAGCTGCTGAAAAGCCACAAATGAATGTCATTGTCTTTTCAGAGACTTTGTGGGCACATCTTCAAGTAATTTTTCCCCTCAAATAACACACTTCCTTGGAATCATCTTGTTAGATGTAAAAGTTCAAAGGAAGGGTACATATTTCCATAAAAATAGGACGATTCATATATTAAAAATACCCTAAAACCTTTTTGTTGCTCCTTCAATATGCTTTTTTTTTAAGAGAGAGAGAGAGATAGAGAGAACACAAGCACAAGGGGCAGAGGGAGAGAAAGAGAGAATCCTAAGTAGGTTCGACATTTAGTGCAGAGCCTGACATGGGGCTTGATCCCAGGACCCTGAGATCATGACCTGAGCCCAGACTAAGAGTTGGATGCTTAACTGACTGAGACACCCAGGAGCCCCTCAATATACTTCTAGAGTGATGCAAACCTTTATTTATTTCTTCCATTTATAGAAGGGCTTTTTAGGGGATTAAGATTGATTTTTTTAAAGTGTAAAATTTGTTCTCATGAAATACATGCTGGTAGATATAAATTAGTATGTCACTATCTTAAAATGCCATTAGGTTGATAAAGATATTTTTCAGTTAAAAAATTATTCATTTGTCTCCAGCTCACCTTTCCTCTCAATCTCCGTTTTCTTCCATTGATCTCTCAATATCATGTAGTTAAGAACATCAGCATCTGCTAACGCTTTCAAGTCTTAGTAACAGTAAGAAAGAACAACTGCTACATTCTTGAACTAAGTTTCATTTTAATAAATGGTATTATGAAACTCACTTGCAGCATTTAAACATTTTGTTTTTCTTATGTGTGATATATATATATATATATATATATATATATATATTACATGGGAATGCACATCATATGTATATATCCACACATAAGGGAAATTTTTGGCAAACTTGAACACATTTTTTTAACCAAAGTGAATAATAGTGAATCAATCAAATGCTTTATTTTTTGATGACCATAAGCAGTTGCAGAAATGGCAAGAATGTGCTTTTTTACAGGTATCATATATCATGTGTTAGCCAAGATATTGTGAGGGAGTAATTGTATTTTATTCATCTTATGTTTTCATACCTGCCTGCCATAAACAAATTGGCAATAAATACTCATAAATTTACTAAGTATCAAGTAATAGCAATTGTTTAGAATTCATAGAGAATATATGTGAGTACATACAAACATGTGAATAGATATTTAATATTCATCCAAAGTTCTCATGATAATTAAGAAAAACAGGAGTGAGAGAAATAGTCAAGATAGATAGAAATTGCTAATTATACTGATCACATATATAATTTCATTTCATTTTTTATAAGCACCATAAGACAGAGAGATAATAACAATAAATGATTTTTCTAAGGTCATGTAGTTGCCAAATTTCTGAGTAGTACTGAAATCCGGGACTTTTTATTTATTCATTCATTCATTCATTCAACAAATATATATTCGCTTCCTATGATGAGGCATGCAGTGTCCTAGGTGCTTGAAATACACCAGAGAATAAATAGAAATCAGAACATCCCAAATTGTACTTTCAGTCAGGTGGTCTTTCTCTATACTATTCTATTACTCAAATAAAAGTTAAATATACAAATAATTTAAAACATTTATTTCTAAATCCTCATCATTTCTTTTAATTTTCAAAAATTCCAATCTGAATTCTTTGAATTTTTAGATTTAGAGTCTTATACTTACTTTCCAATGAATGGTTAAGCTAATTATGATATGAATATAAATAAATATTCTAAATTCACAAAATATTGTATTATTTTATTCATGTACATAGGAACTCATTTCAATTTACCACTTTGCCTGTACTGAAAATAATAAGTACATCTCTGTAAAATCTGTTACTTCTCACTGTGTATCTTTAACAACTTCCACTAGTGCCTGAACCATAGTAGACATGATATTTGTTAAATGTATGATTGTATAGTTAATTTAAAACCTTATTTGCACCCCAAATCTTTGCTTGCTCAAGTTAAATTGTTAAGTATTCATCAAAGTCATTTATATCAATAAAACATAAGTTTAAAAAACCTCTATACCTTAAATTTTACAGCAAAGATTGCATGAAATAATTTCACATGCTAAAACTTGTAATTCAGGTATAAGTGTTTTTTAATCATTAGGCTGTTATTGCATTGGAGAAATACACATAGTTTCAGTAAACTAAAAATTTCATAAAAATTATGAAATTATTAGAATGCTAATAAAATCTGCAAAAACACATTAAAACACTTATATTAAGTGAAGATATAATGAATAAATATTAAAAGTAAAAAACAGGCTATAAAATCTTATGTCTCAAACTATATACATGATAATATCAAATACATATTTCATGTATGTTTAAAAACAAAACTAGACCTATGTGTAATATCTAAATAATAATTTAAAAATGCAAAAACAATGAAATTGTTATATTTTGTTGTTGGAACAATAGATGTTACTTGTTCATATATATATTTTTAAATAGTCTATTTTTTTTAAATAGTATTTTTAGGGACTTCTGGGTGGCTCAGTGGTTGAGTGTCTGCCTTGGGATCAGGGCATGATCCTGGGGTCCTGGGATTGAGTCCCAGATCGGGCTCCCCATGGGGAGCCTGCTTCTCCCTCTGCCTGTATTTCTGCCTCTCTCTCCCTCTCTCTGTGTATCTCATGAATAAATAAATAAAAATCTTTAATAAAATAATAAATAAAATAAAATAAAATAATAAAATAAAATAGTGTTTTTACCCCTAGAATGGAAAATACTCAACTCTTCCTGCATTAATCTTTACACCAACTTTGGAATTACAATTCAATGTTTGAATGAGCTCTTAACAGAGTTTTACTTTTAATAGCTTCAGATTCTTTCACAATATTAGGAAATACATTGTATATGTATATATACGTCCCTCACACTCCACCCTGTGTGCATTTTGCCCACTTCAGAGACTTGCCTGGAGCTTGGTTACAAGTTCTCGAAGGCGTTTATTTTATACCATTAACTGTAGAGTCCTTACCAGCTACCGGTCGGGGTTTTTTACTAAGACATCTGGGACTGTCCTCAGGATCCCCATCATCTCCTCGGAAAACCCACGCTGCTGAGTGGAAATTCTCCGTGTAGAATCCTTTTTCTTCAAGATCAACTCGAAAGCCAAGATCCAAAGAACAGCCATCTTCTGAGGTGACTGAGGAGCAGAGAGGGGATAACGTGAATCATGCCCTGGCAAGAAAGGAGATGCACCCACGCTGATGGCCAAGGTGGGAAAGCAGCCGAACCTGTGCTGGGGAGACTCTTGACTGAAGCAGAGAGTCTTCCTCCAAAACAAGGGGCTAAGTTTATTAGGCAGTTCTTTCGGGAAGAACTTGGATAACCTTAAAATATCATAAATAAAACAGGCATTGCTGAGGGGCCTAGACGCTGGAAGTCAGTACCCTAGAGAGAGTACTCTGAATTTTTTTTTGTTGAGGAAAATCTAGAGAAAATAATTATTTTGAGATTTACATATTAATACTTAGGGGTCAAGAGGAAGCCATGTAAGACAGAATGAGAATCTGTTAACAATTCTAAGCATAAGGGAAAAAGAAAATTGCTCTTGTCTTTCTGTGCTTTGAAGAAGGCACTGCAGAAACATGCATTCCTGAAAAACTCTCTGTGGTCTTACCTGTAGAATAAAGCACAGAGGGAGGCAGGTAAAGTTTCATTTGACAGTTTCACTCGTAGCACTTTTGAATTTCTGTGTATTTGTGAGTCTCTTGGCTAGTGTGGAAGGCTGAGCTAGTTAAGACACTAACATCGCTTTCCTGTATTTGCTTCTAAGTGTTCCTTCGAGGCCCAGTTTAGGTCATTCAAACCTGAACAAAGTCATGCCTTTCAGTCTTTTAAGCATGCAGAATTAAGAAGCAGTGTTTCAGAACCAAAATATAATTTAAAGAAAAGCCTAAATCCGTGACCTGCATTTCTCAGGTATCATGAAGCAGGGGCAGGGTGTGGTTGAGAGATCACAGAATGCTTCTTCAATGACACATCACTTCTCTTTCAGTCTCTTCTCATAGACTACATACAGCTGTTCCAATTCCTTTTTCTCAAAAAAGAGGTAAAATCTCTTCTTCCTTCTCCTCACCCTGTCTAGCAAGGTCATAGCACTGCTTCCCTTATAGAATACACCCATATTGATTTGGTTATAAATAAGAAAACCAGAAACAAAATATTGCATGTAGTAATAAAAATCTATTACTTCTAATAGTAGCTTCCACTATTACCTGGAATAATTTGATTTTGGGGGAGGGGAACAATTTATGATTGATCTAAATAAAAAATATGATTAACCAGAAGCTTTGCTTGATTGACCACAGATGATCTTTACATGCCATGGTGAAAGGGACCATTTCTCTAGTTTTCAGTTTCTTCTAATTTAGAAGCACCAGTTCCTTCTAGTTCACTGTGTCTTTGAGCTCCCTGGATTCTTTCCATCCAAGTCTGTTTTGTTTGTTTGATGGACAAATCCTCCATTATTGGTGCTCTTAGACATTCATATCTGCTATGCATTTCTTGAGAAAAAGAAACTACCGGAAGTGAGCTGGAACTGGCTCACAGTGGTTCACAATAACTCACTGTGCACATTTTCCCCTAACGTTGCAATTCAGTGAGGTCAGGCTGGTAGCTTGACACTGGTCAGGGTAGGAGTGTTTATGCAACAGAGACTGGCAAACATTACAAGTCAGGGCTGTTGTTTTGTTTTTTGTTGTTTTTTTTTTTTCCCTCCCTTTGGAGAGCTACTTGTTAAACATTTACCAGTACCCACATGAAGCAACACAGAAGTCAGCTGTGTAACTTTCCCACATTCAAATTCAGGCCAACATAGCACAATCATCTAAATTAAAACAATGACCATGTTTTCTCTGAGGTGAATTCTGTTTTGAATGAAAATGTGAACAATTTGTTTCACATTAGACATGAGGGAATTGAATTGTCTGCCATTTTATTTCTCAGTTTATCCAAGCCACAGACACTCATGTGGTGTTTCTTCAGAAACTTCGCAATAGAAACTGCAATTCATTTGGAGCTGCTGGAGCTAACATTGTTTAACGTGTGGTTTAAATTCTATCTCATTTATAGAGTCAGGATATGCTACTAATCCATGACTTAAAACCTGACAGCTTTATCGAGCATCATTACAGCTGGTGTTTCTCAGTCTGTTAATCTCACTCATCTCTGACTTCCTACATAATAACTGGAAAAGACATTAGGAACGACATATTTATGTATGTGGACACAGTTGATCAATGCATCTAGGCTGTGGGGAATGCTGACTAAGGCACACCAGGTAAATAACTTGAAGGCTGTAAACGAAAGTCAGAAAGGGCCTGCAAAATGGAGCTCTGATTTTTATACTCTCAAATGGCTCCCGTATCACAAACAGATGTGGCAAGAATTTGGGTCTAATTGTGTGAGGACACTTGATAGCATTTCCCTGATTTCATTCAGCTACAAAAATTAGTCTGGAAATGGCTTTTCCAAACATTAGTTGCCATGGAAATAAGAAAGGAGGGGACGGACAGAGAGAGAGAGAGAAAGAGAAAGGCAAGCAGGCACAAGAACTCTGTTTCTAAAAATAAGAGCTAACAATTACATTGTGCTTATTACATCAGCCTTTACAAAATATTCGTTTATGAATGATCCCAACAACACTATAAGCAAAGAACTATGTTTTCATCTTCACTTTCCCAAATGAGCATTCTGAGTCATGGATAGGATAAGTGATTCATCCAGTCGCTCAGCTATAAATTAGCAGTAGAGCTGGGTTTCAAACCCAGATAGCTTAACCAGGAGTCTATGCTCTTGAACACAGCCCACTACCTCTGATTGGACCACTCAGATCTGAACCTGGTTCATCTCTGGGAAAGTCCAAACAGGGTCTCACTTCTTGTGATACCACTTTATGATCCCCAAATAATACAGTGGAATGAAAGACATATGAGAATGTCTCAAGACATCTGGAACTGCATTGAGCATTTTATCCTTTTTTATTCTAAAGAGCAAAAAGAAGCGTTTTAGTTTTTCAAGAGCAAAGAAGTCCAAATCCAATTTCAGTAATACCAAGCATATACAAGAGCTCATTCTGCTTTAAGGTTTCATTTATTAAAAGGCTCATCTCCACAAGCCAAACTTTGGAGACAAAGTTTTAGTGACAGAAGTACATTTGGATTTGTTTTTTTACTTGGCTCAAAGTTCCACAGGGGCAGTTGTTGAGAAATCTAGAAGCTCAAAGCTGCAGCAGGTGTGTGGCTTGCTGCTTCATTGGATTTTATCACAAATTTTATGTCTCAGTTTATGTAAGGGTATGTTGATTAGCTCTGTCTTGGTAACTGAATGAACAGAAAACTGTTCATTCACATAATCAAATCTGTTTGTAAATAAGTGAGCTGTTTTAACAGTATCTTGCATGCTGATAAAAACAAAGATCACTATAATTTAAAGACCTACCTATGCTTGGGGAAAGAATAATAATAAAGATAAATCCATGGGTCCAGGAATCTATGTACTTTATATTTATAAAAATTAAAAATGTAACTGAATATTTAAGGCCAAGGATAGGAAAAGATGCTTAAATACTTTAAAATCCTGCAGGGCTTCTCTAACTTTAGCAAGTACTATGTAGAAAGTAACTTTGCATTAGGCTTAAAGCCAGAAAGACAGGTCAATAAATTGTTATAATTCCTTTGGCTAATTTTCCTACCATTTAAAGTCAAATGTCACAGAGCTAAAAAAAAATGCAAAAAAAAGTGATTTTTGAAATATGATGTGTGAAAGAAGGCATCCTACATGCAGAGTCAAAGTTTTTTAAAGTTTTCATCATTTTTATGTCAATCAAGATGGCCGGTAACATTCTTATATAATTTACATTCCTACTTTATCATTACATAGTATTCCAATATATCTTCCTCTTTATTTTCCCACTAACATCATATTTATCCAATTAACATGGTCAATCTTTTAAAAAACTCAATCCTCACTTGAGTCCACTTGTCCATCTCATGCCTACTTACCAATCCACAACCCCATCCTTCTGTAGAAATTTTGTTCACTCCTCAAATCCTTCTTCCTTGAGTCCTCCCCTTCCCTACATCCAGAACCGCTCTCTCCTTCCTCTGAACTCTCTAACCTCATCATGAGTTCCACATCTTATCTATCCCCATGAGCCTACCCTGCACCATAGAGCAATTCTTTTAAGTTAATTCAACTCAATAAATGAGTAAAACATGAATGAATGCACCTGAAACCATTTAAACTGCAGATTCATGTCAAATGTTTCATGAAATCTCACTTGCTGTACAAAATAAAAACTACAAGGACAAGCATTGAAGATATAGGGGTTCAACTAACATAACAGTGTAGTCAATTATACTTCAATAATAAATTGTTTACAGAAATACTGAGGTTTGTTCTTAACTGTCTGCAAGAGACGACACTGCTGCATGCTGTCAATGTACCACTCGTGGACATTTCTACATAACTTAAACAAATAGGTGAGCTCAAAACCTATTGTTGCATTTGTCTGTGTGTCAGGACCATAATGAACATTTGCCCTCTTTGGTACTAAGAGAGCAGATGTGAAAATGTAGGGCCAAGGACAAGAATCATTCAGAAGGATTCTTCAGAGAAGATCAATGAGAGGACAGGAACCATTCCTCCCGGGGACTTTATATAAGGACCTTCAGCAGAAGTGGACTATGTGTTTCTGGTATTCTTATTTATAACCAAATTGTTCTTCCTTCGCGCTCTTCCTTCTTAGCTTTTACGATGGGTGGATCCTGATTAATGCTAACGGATTGTTGAATATCTTGATAATTTCAGTTGCATGGGGTTTAGAGGTAGGAGCTGCAGTTGAATTTTCTGTGGCATAAAAGTGAGGAATTCCAAAGGTCCAGAAGGAAGAAAACAGAACTCAATCAATATGGGTGTATTCTATAAGGGAAGCAGTGCTAGGAAAGGGGGTCCTCGGAGCATAGGAGCCTTCAAAGTAGAGTAGTATCTAGAGGAGATTTCAGGTTACTTTCCAGGGAGTATGTGATATAAGTCCTCTGTGTGCCCTTGAATGTCTTCAGGAGGTTCTCCTTCTCACTCTCGCTTAAAGTGAGTATATTCTTTGGGGGACCCGAATCAATGGGGCCAGGGGTAGTTGTATCTGATTTATATGCATAACACAAGATTTGTATTCATAGGTGAAAAGAAACAAAATTATTCATCTGAAGACTAGGGATGATTCTAGTACACTGTGAACAAAACCTCTTTCCTCTTTTACAGCTTGAATACTGAGGATCAAAGCCACCTAATCCCATACACCTTACTGTCTAAATTAACATGACCTTATTCCATAGACTTTATTAACACAGTTTTATTTTCCCTTGGACACTTGGCCAGGTGGATACCTTCACTGTTCATTATAAGGAACCACCACCTCTTCAGTAGAAAGCACCAACAGAAAGTTCTTTCTCCAAACCACCAAAAAGCTCCAAACCACCTCTTCAGTAGAAAGCACCAACAGAAAGTTTATTTCCTTAGTATCTTTGAAACCCTCAACATCCTCATTTTGCCTTTTCTGTAAGTCTTGACCTGTAAAACCATGATCCTTACCCTATCCTAACTAAGCTCTCATAATGAAAGATCTACATTAAACCAAATTTCTAATTCTCAATAAAATCAAGTGTTGCCTTTTCCCCTCCAAATTACCACCAAAG